AAAGTCTTTGTAACTATGGAATCATTAACGTTCCCATAGAAACGCTGCTAGCTGTGATAGAGTGCTAGCGCTCAAGTAGTTTGCCAAAGAACGAGCAGTGAGRWTGGCGGCGCCAGTCGTTGCATAGGATAAAGTAGAAATCTGCTTATCGACAGCAGGTCGCTACAAAACTACTGTTACATGTGTGCGGGAAAAAGTGGCGGGAAACTTACAAGACAGTAAAAAGCAATTGTTGTGTGTTTTTATACAAAAAAAAAATAGGTTTCTGTTGAAAAAGTGAAAGAATATATATTATAGAAAGAATATATAAGAATATCTATTTTTATAGACTTAAAGCTATACATGTATATAAATTAATATTAACATTTGGTAAGTACGCCAGTATCTATTTTATATTGATATGTACAATGAAAGGTTAATGATCATTTGTTATCATTAAGAATAATTTAAAATAGGAACATTCAAGCTGCTAAAATTTATAATACAGAAAATGGATTTTGCTTTTAAACATTGTACCATTACAAATGAAATAAAAACTTTAAAGACACTTTATCCACATGATTTGCAAGTATATGATGTTTCACCTAAAGGTGAAATATCTTTAATTGAATTTCAAGAGTTAGCTCTTGATAGATTAAAAGGTATATTTTTTTTATTATTTCTTTAAAGATATTCATTTAATAGATCAATATTTAAATATACGCATCATTTTAGTTCTTCGTATGATTGAAAATATTTCTCTACGAACTGATCTTAAGACAATAGAAGTACGTAGGGATAGTTTAAGAGATAGTTTGAAAAAGGATGGTCTTAAATATTATGCAAATCTAATTTGTGGAACTGGTTGTAAGTCTGATGCAGAATTCGATCTTCAAGCCAGAAAAAAGGATAATATATCGCATCATATTCTGAGACTAGCGTATTGCAAAGACAAAGATCAAGCAAAATGGTTCATGAATCAAGAGGTAGAATTATTCAAAATGAGATTTTCATCTTTGGATAAAGAAGGCGTTGATCAGTTTTTAACTATACATAAGCTCAACTGCAAACACGTACGTTTATTTTTTCAAACATAGTCAATGCTATCAACAGTATAAATATTTTCATATTTATTTATTTATATATACATAATATACTAATAATATGCTAAGGTTTTTTATATAGATATCCTATGAAGAAAAAGAAAAAATTCGAGAAGAGCTTCAAATGTCTACCTTCAAAATTACAAATATAGATACAGTAGATTTTTATAAAATACCATTTCAGAAAGTAATTGATCTTGTTAGAACGCGTAAAGTATATCTTGAAGATGGAATGGCATATGTACCACGAAATGATCTAATTTCATTGTGTATTTCATACTTTAGGCAAAAATTAATCATAGGAATAGAAGTATGACTTTTTCTTAACTTTCCAAATTTTAACATTAATTGTATTAATTATCTTTGTCTATTTCTTGATCATTTAGGCTGCAAAAATAGATCTTTTAAATGCCTCTGACGATGAAAGATTGATAAGTTTTATTAATGCCGTACCTAGCACATTCTCTGGAATGACTCGAGTAGTTTGGTCAACCACAAATACTCCAATTGAAAAACTAGAGCTAGTAAGTAATTGAAAATATATTAACAATGAATATATGTATTAAAATTTTTTTTGGATTTTATTATTTTATTTAATATTTGATTTACTCATTATAGTTATCAATAACATCTTATCCATTATGTATGAGATCTCTTCACGAAGCATTACATGTTAATCACCACTTAAAAAATTCTGGACGTATTCAATATGGTCTATTTCTTAAAGGAATAGGTGTTTCTTTAGAAGATGCACTACAATTTTGGAGGGAAGCATTTTCCCAAAAAATAGATTCAGATAAATTTGAAAAGCAATATGCGTACAGTATCAGGCACATATATGGTAAAGAGGGAAAACAAACAAATTATACACCGCTTGGTTGTAATAAAATTATAAGTAATTCTATTGGTCCTGGAGAATATCATGGTTGCCCATTTAGACATATGGATCAGAATTCGTTAAAGCAAAAATTATCTACTCATGGAATCCTTGATTCAGGTATTATTTATTTACTTATTTATTTATAGAATTCTGAAAAAAAAAAATAAAATATTTAAAGATGTTAAATTAATAAAAGGTTATTAATACAGATATAAAAGATATAGCCGAATTAGCAAAAGAGGGACATTATTCGTTGGCGTGTACAAGACATTTTCAATCATTACATAAGCAATTACCAGAACAACCGATTGCCCACCCAAATGGATACTTTGCAGAAAGTCGTAAAATAGCAAATAAAGCTAACGATACTACAGGTAAAGATTTAATGATCTTTAAAAAATTTCTCATTAAAAATCGTTGAAATAATGGAAATTAATATTTTGATTGTGTAGTCGATAGTACGGATAGTTCAATGCAGTTAACAAATATAAGATCAGAAAGGTTGACAGGTACTCCACGAAGAAGTGAGGCAGGTAGTTTTACACCTTCTAGAGTTAGCGAGCAATTTTCTACACCATCTAGGAGAATAGAAAAGATACAGACAACTCCTTCAAGCAGCATTAAAAAAATGAATCCATTAAATATTGAAAAGTTGTTAAATGATGATGAAATTTCAGAATTAATGGATATAGACTTAGTGGATTAAGTTCATTGAGGTAAGAAGCAATATCTATTTATACTGGAACATATGTAATAATAAGATTATTTATTATATTTTATTTTTCAGATTATATATGATTATTTGTGTCAAGTCTTTTATATGTCATTTGCGTTCAATAAAGAAATAATTATTTTGTTATATACCTTCATTTGTATTTATATAAATTATTCACTTATTTACGGCATACTATTATTATACATAGCTGTTGACTTCCTTTAAACGGTACTTTGGCAAAAAGTGTGTACTAACATCTCGTATCATTGCACTTACAAGTTTGTCTAGATCGTATTTATGTTGCCATCCCCAATCTTTTCGTGCCTCGCTATCGTCAAAAATTTGTGGCCAATTTTCCGCTAAAAATATTACAATTATACATGTATAGATGGTAAAAGAATGAAATGATATTCAGAAAATGTTATTAACCATTTGCATCATTAGCGTATATATGCGCACATTCGCATTGTGAATTATAAATAATGGTCAAATAATTTCTTGAAATATTATTATATTTAGATTTAATGAAAAACAAATTTGGTGGTACATTTTTCATTTTGTCGTATGATGCAAAATAGATTAAAAGGTATTTATACTTAATTTCAATACAGTGATATCCTTAAGTTCTACTAACCGATATGTTGCCGGCTATCTGGTTTATAACTAATTTGCAAATCTGGAACATGTTTGATGATTTCGCTAAAGAGTTCCTCTGGTGTGAAACTCATAGCAGTAACATTATACACTCGCCTTTGTAGCTTTTCATTAGGTGTGTTTAAAAATTGAAAAAGAGCTGAAAGACAATCGTCGATGTACATCATCGGTAATCGAGTGTAGGGTTCTAAATAACACTCGTATCTTTTGTTTAACAGACCTTCGTGGAAAACAGCTACTGCATAATCTGTAAATATATTTATGTATTTTGTAATATGAGAATGAAAATGAATGAATCATTTAATAGAAGTTACAAGCTGATTATTATTTTTATTATCATCATCATTATTTTTCTGAATATTTTTTAATTCTAGTTTTTTTAAGAAATATAAAGATATAAGAAACAGATGTGTGAATAACAATTGTAGAGATAAAGAGATTGTTGTAACCATCGAAGAATTGGTTGCACCATTGCGCATTTATAATCATACCAAAGATCACGCTCTACTTATTCGTAAAAAACGTACTTATTGCGGCTCTTAATGGCAATCATTACAGATCTCTTTATTTTATATGTATCGCATGGAAGAAATTGTCTTTACGGAAGAAAACTACTCCTTGTCGTGTCATTTGTATATGTATTGCATCTATATATCTTATCTATTCTTTTCAAATCATCGTTGAAGTATTGTCATTGTTTTATACGTACCAGTGGTACCGCCTCCAGGTGGATCGCTACTTATTACTCCTGGAAATCTAAGACATCGAAAATCTAAGTTAAATCTGTGATGATAATATTCTCCCAAAAGTTCGGCGTGAACTTTGCTAACACCATAAATGGTGCGAGGTCGTTGAATCGTAATGTTTGGTGTAGGATTTCTTGGTGAATCCGGTCCGAACGCACCAATCGTTGAAGGTATGAAAATCCTTAATTTATATTGCTTGGCTAATTCAATAACATTGTGCATGCCTACAAATAAAATGCAAAGAAATATAATTGTCTGCACCTAAGAAAGACAAACTGATGGAAGGAGGAATATCAAAATCAAGACGGGTATCAAAATGATAATATTTTTATGGTGTATATGCATAATGTATAAAATTGTATTTCATTGAAAAGAGAATAAAACGACGAATATATTTTATTTGAATTTAGAATTGATAAATGTGCGGTATGAAAAGAAAAAAACAAAAATAATCAAATTCGAAGCGGGGCCAATTTACTTTCTCTCGTGGTCTTTCTTTCGTAACCAGAACGATACGATCGTGAACGTAACGACAGATTCGCTAGTTACCACGGCATTTGATTTCACTGAATTACAAGTCGTTAGTAGACGATGAAGATCCGTTTTTGTTTCATTTCTAGAACGTGCATAATAGACTAGATACAAACCAAGCGAGTTAGTGATATATGTATGTATATATATTTCATTGATAAGCTATCATTATAAAATACTTCAAGAAGGAAAATAAATAATTTATTAGAGAAAGAAAATGTCTGAAAAATGTTGAAGGAAAAAATCTAGAAATATTCTTAAACAACCTTCAATATTGACCCTCACTGCCAAAGGAACATTCTGTTCACCCACGGCACTAAGAAGAGCACTAAAATGTATCAGCCAATCGATCCTATAGTCAACGACGATCTTTTGAAGATTTTTAAAATCAAGTATGTCTGCGAAGATGAATGGTCCATTAGCCAAATTCTCCTCCGTCGGCTTAATGATATCCGAAAGAATCACATTATCTTTTCCGTAATTCTTGCGTAGTAACTTGGCACACTCTGTACCTAGTTGTCCAAGGCCACCTGTTAGATATCGTCACTAATGTAAATAAGCAAGATAATTACTCTTCAATTCTTCTATCGATTCAATCAAATCTAATGTCCCGATTGAAGATCTCTCAAAGTTTTTCTCTTTTATAATTTCATAAATCGTAGAGATTGATGATAAATGATCGGTAAATCTTCTTACCTGTTATAAGTATCCTTGGAGAACGTTTTGTATCGCTTATGTTACGAAGAAGATTATTAGATGAAATGATTGAATTTTTCTTCGTTAAACTTTTCAAAATACAACAGGATAATTTTTTCAAGTTTCTAGCAAACATATTATTTTATTGTTTATGTGTAAACTTTTTCTTCTTTCCTTTCTTCACCAACAAAAAATATCTTCTCTTTCAGTTTTGTTGTTCGATATTATCACATGCCAAAATCACGGAACAAATAAGTTACTTGCGACTATTAGAAAAGAACTCTCCTTGTCTCGTTTTACCGATCTCTTCGAATGATCAATCCTTTCTCGTTTCTCTCCTTTCTATTCCAAGTTGATAAATAAGCAAGAAATTCTCGCATAATTATATATCTTATATTCTGCTATATTAAAAACCTGTTGGAAAATATACGCGCTAACTCTTTGTTTTTATTCGTTTGTTCAATAAATATGCATGCGAGGATCATTTTTTGTATTCTTTTTACTTTCTCTCTCTTTCTTACTCCTTCTCGCATAGGTTTGTAATTTTTCTATCCTCTATTGTGTTATGTTAGGATTTTACACAAGAAATTTATTTACAACGCGAGATTTTATTTAGTAAGGGTATATTCAAATTTGCATCTGTAGACCAGTAATGACAGCTCGAGATTCACTTTGAGCATCTAATATAAGATTCTTAATAAAGATTCAAATGTTTATTATAAACAATTTTAGTTCTTCTTCCACTTTGATCATCTTATTCATCAAAATTGACCATCAAAATTGACCATCAAAATTGACCATCAAGTCTCCTAAGTACTGCACCTATTAAGAAGTCATATAAAACATATTATGTTCTTCTCGATAACATGCAGTTTCGATTATTGCATTGCATTGATGATTCGATCATCATTTTGATCATTTATTCTCGAATATCCGTTATTAATGTGACGATAGGGCATATCAACGGATAATAAGATGTGTACGTTTTTCAGCGATACGAAAATTATACCTTTTTATGCTATTCTGATGATAGGGCCTATAAACGGACAATAAGATGTGTATGTTTTTCAGCGATTAGATACGAAGATTATAACTTTGCATTGACGCAAATCGTCATATTATATAAATATTAGTTATATATTTTATATCTATCCATTTACAAATGATCATATCAAGATCATTGATCTATTATAAATCAATTTTACATATCTTTATGTATAAATTGCACAAGTTTTTAAACAACAACGATAGAATAATCGTTTGAAAACAGTAATATTATTATATTTACGTAATATTAATTTTTTGTTCGTTGTTCACTTAAGGTCAGTATGCATGTATTATGCGTTTTTTTCTATGTTTAAACTTTTCTAAGGCATTACATGCAAACAACGAATAGTTTCATCTCATCAAACGAGATCGTATTGATTAAAAACCAGTTATTGATAAATTTTTTGCACGCTAATAAAAAGTATCGAATGTAAATGGAGATGTTTATCGAATTTAATGTAAGTTAAAAGGAAACAATTCATTAAATCTAAGGTATCGATAACAGGATTGTTATTGAAACACAAATCGAACAAATTTATTTGAAATATCTATAAGATGTACTTCACTGTCAATAGTAATAAATTTGACTGATTATTCGATCAAATTTTCAAAATTGAAACGTGCTTTTATTTAATAGTAACGAATACGTTTCTGTGCAATATTAATATAGATGATCGAATTGTCAAAAAATGTCTGTTCAAATTTTGTTGATAGTCAATATTTGCATTGTGAAAAAAAGAACTTTGTATTAACATACTCGTCGCACGTTCATTTTTATGTATCTAGAAATATCTTTTCTATGTCATCAGCAATCTTATATTGGTATCTTAGCGATTGTGTGCGTGTTTGTGTGTAACTTAATTTTAAATAGTACCGTATTGTTTCGAAAAAATATATAATTAAATTTAAACACACATGTTGGATATTTTTGAAATGATCAATAGAAAATATGAAATATTTCAATTAGAGAAAACGGATCAACGCATTGACGGAGAGATCCGTGAAAAAAGGGGAGAATTTCCTGGAAGCGTTCCTTCACGGTATCTGGACACGTACTTCGCAATACTCTTGTATCTCGACTACCTTCACCCACGCGTCTCAGTCATCGTTCTTCCCTCGAACTCGCTTTTACCGGCTCGGTCTATCTTTTTTTCTGTCTTATGCATAAAAAATTAGAAAAAAAAGACAGATTCTTCGATCAAAACGCTAAGTAAACTTTTACTAAACTTTTACTATTTTTTAGCAACGTTTAGTAATATTTTTCAAAAGAAATATTAAGTGTTTATTTTGGGGGAAAACAACAAACGGAATTATTGTTGTTACTTTACATATTTATAACAAGGATACGTGACACACAACTGTTTCGGCAAATCTTGCCGAAACAAAAGGTACTTATAAAAATTACTTTGCTTTGTTTTTCCTACAGAAAAAAAAAAACAAAAAAAGAACAAAACGTTCGTTTCATTAAATTTAAATATATATCTACAATTAGGTATAATCATTAATTACCAACAACGCACGCTTTCCTTTTATCAGTTAATCACGATAAATTGAAAAGAAAATTTATCTGGCAAAGGATATACACAAGGGAGAGTGATAATGAGGGAGATAGAAAGAGAAATAAAAGCTATGAATTGTTGAAGAGGAATAAAGATAGCACAGGAAGAAGAAGAAGAAGAAGAAGAAAAAGGAGAAGAAATCACTTTCCCTCGTAATCTTGATCGTTCGATCGAGATTATGCGCTATTACAATGAGGGTTTTCGATTGTTTTCATGATTAATGGAATCAGAATTATTATTACCCCCTCCCTTATTTGGGTGGGGTGCGTATCGTACGTGTGTACAAAAAATTGGAAAGAAAATGAAATAAAAGTTAAATTATTTGAGATCGTTTAAATAGACGTGTCATCGCGTTTAAAAATTGTTTCATTATTTTCTATAATAGAATACAATTTATTAGAAAACTTGGTTAATGAAACAAATGCTTCTCTCTTCTCGTGAAATCGAATGTTAATTTTCTTGAATGACTTATCAAACACTATTCCATCTACAGTATTCACGTTTGACCGATTTTTCAGGCCGACCGATTGTGTTGTTATAAAATCTATGTATTATACTTACATACATACGTACACGTGTACATCTATAAACAATACACGTTGGATATGAACGTGTAAGAATTGTTAAAGATATTTCATGATCCGTCATTGAAAAAGTTTTATCCCCAAAATTGCATTTGTTCTGAGCCGATAAAAAAAATGTTTGTAAGGATAAAAAATATTTATTGTTCATAATGATTTGAAGATTTGTTAAATTTCGTGATTCGTGCAAAGCGGTTTACGCCTTCGTAAAAAAGAACTCTCGCGTGCGACAGCAATTATTACGGATAATGATTGTCCTAGCGGTCTTTTAGGCTTTGCGCTTACGGTACGGAGCATCAATTTAGTTGTTTGTAACCGTAACGTATATAAGATCTCTCTTACAATATATATATATATATATATGCATATGTGTATGTACGCATCTCTCTAAAAAGGTCTACATCATCAATAATAATGTTTCTCAATCGTAATTTATTATTTACTATTATTATTATACATTAATATAAGCGCGCGACACATTATTGTTTGTTTGTTCCTTCCAGAAAATGCAGGACAAGACGGATATTTAACGTCGTAAACTGTGGTGTATAAGCCAGAAATGATTAGACCATTAAAATTGATTAAAAGTGCCTTCATAGTTGGCTGGTATTTGATATTATACTCGGTTTTTGATATCAATGGTCAGATTGCATCGGAGTACGGATGTCCGCCGCAAGAAAGAATTCTCCCTTGCAGATGTTCAACTCGCGACACGGAAATCCAAATATGGTATAATAAAGGAAACAATCAAAGAAACATTTGGTTTATTTATATTAATAATGATTATTTTGTTTTTCCATTGAAAGGTGCAGTCATAGCGAATTAGCAAAAGTACTGGAAGGATTAAAAGCAATTAGCCATTATGTGGATCGTCCGATAGACGAGCTGATTCTTGAGAATAATAATTTACCTAGCCTCCCGGGAAAAGCATTCGCTACTTTAAAAGTTTTACGTTTAATGTTACGAAATAATAGATTAGAAAGAGTGTCGTCTGGTTGGTTGGAAGGTTTACACGATTCCTTGTTAGAAATCTTCATCGTGGAATCTGATTTACGTTCGTTACCTATCGACAGTCTTGAAAATCTTCAAGGTCTCGAAGCCATAACTCTGCAAAGTCGAGTTATGAAAAGATTACCGAAATTTTCTGGGCTTTCAAAATTGAGATATCTTCAAATAAATTCACCCGCTTTATTGGAATTAGCGCCAAGGAATTTTAAAGAACTTCCGAATCTCGAAGAGTTACATGCTTTCGGTAGTTCTCGTCTAGTTCGATTGGAAGCTGGTCTCTTCCGTGATTTGCCACGTTTGGAATTGATCAATATAACGGATTGTGGTATTCATTGGATTCATCCTCGTACTATGATCAATCTTCCAGAATTGAAAGAAATATCTTTAGTCGGTAATGATATTGCTGACGCTGGAATGGTCGGTCGAGCTTGCATGGATCTTCCATTACTTTCGGTGATACGACTCGATCGAAATCATATTAATAGGCTTGCGGAAGGTTCCTTCGTCGATCTCCCTGTATTAAATCGTCTTTATTTGTCGCGCAATCTAATAACTGAAATTTTTGCCGGATCATTTCGTCATTTACCGAAATTGAAAACTATCGATCTTAATCACAATCTGATACATCGTATACATCCGGAATTTGTTCCTCGGAGATCTCCTAATGGATTGGAAGAAGTGTGGCTTATCAATAACGATCTCAGTCACATTGCCGAAATACGATCGGTTTTGGAAGCTTTGCCGAGATTAAAATTTCTCGATGTAAGTTACAATCAATTGGAAGAAATTCCATACGGTGCATTGAGAGGTCATCTTACTTTGGAAAGATTTCATTTGGATCACAATCGATTAGGATTCTTGCAAAGGGAAACGTTTACTTCTATGCCAGCTCTACGGGAACTTCGTCTTAGAAATAATTCATTGTCAAATTTATTGGAAGCCCCATTTTGGAATTTGCCGGCACTCAAAGTAAGATTCTTTTTCAAAATATCAATCATTTATGTTTAACATTTTATCGATATATGATATGTCATTTTCAGGGATTGGATCTTTCGGAAAATTATTTTCGACACATAGAGCCACGTCTTTTAGCGAATTTACCTAATTTAAGACATTTGGATCTAAGCGGTAATTCTATAGGGTTGATAGAACCAGAATCTTTCCGAAATACACCTGCCCTGGAACACGTGAACGTTTCTGGAAACGCTTTATCCATACTGCATCCTCTAACTTTCAGACACTTGACTAATTTATATGAACTCGATGTTGGTTGGAACCGAATGTTAGAAATTGTCCCGGGTTTGCCAAGAAACATAGAACACCTTCATATGCCTATGAATCGAATCGTTGCATTGCCATCTATCGCATCTCAAGATCTTGCACTTCCGGTTTTAAGAAAATTGGATCTCAGTGCCAACGGAATCGAAAGAATACCACCTGGTGCTCTCAATGAATTGGCCAATCTTCGTAAATTGATTTTGGGATACAATGCACTTAGAGTCATAGAAGATGGTACCTTCGATGGTTTATCCAAATTAGAACAATTGGATTTAAGGTACAACCGATTGGTTACGTTACACGGTAGAAGTTTTAGATCGCTAAGATCTTTAATGGATTTAAATATTCGTGGAAATCGTTTGGAAATTCTTAGACCGGATATCTTTCAAGAGAACACCAGGCTGCAAAGGCTTGATTTTAGTAGAAATAATCTTGCACAAATTCCTCATTCCACATTCGTAAATACAAGGTAAGAAAATAATACACAATTATTTGATGAATCGTATTACTGTCTACAATGAATTTTGTATATCAATCGTTAAATTAAAAAATATTGTGTAATAGACGATCAATTGGTAGCAGAGTGATAGTTCGACGAGAGAGCGGTTTCACTCACGTTTACTTCGTTACGTCATTAGAAAATTGATCCGTAGAAAGCTCTTCGCGTACTTACTTCACGTATTTTCTATTTTATATACATATTTCCATAAAATGAAAGATTACTGTATACTACACAAAGTCTAGCTGTGCTAATTATATTAAGTAGTTTTCTAATCTGAAATATTGATTTTATTTATACATACTTTTTTATACCTAAAAATATATATCTAGGATTTTATGAAAAGTTAGTGGAAGCATTCGATATAAAGAATAATACGTAATCACCATGATAATTACAGGGACCTTCGGGAATTGTACGCGTCGCACAACACTTTGACCGAGTTACCCGGATCGTTGCACGGTTTAATGGCTCTCGAAATCCTCGACTTGAGCTTCAACAAACTGAACATCCTGTCACCGGAAACACTGAGCAGTCTGTCGTCTTTACTTGAACTAAGACTGGTTAGAAATCGAATAAGGGAATTACGAGAGGGTGCTTTTGATGGTTTACCAAGATTATCTATAATCGATCTCGAAAATAATGATCTTAGGGTGATCGAAAAGAATGCGATTAGAAGATTGGCTGAATTACAAGCTATAAGACTTGGAAAAAATCGTATACAGGTATTGTATATTCCAAGAATTATATATTAATAGAAAATATTTATATAATCAATATACAGGCTAGAACATATCAATCGGAATATATTTAAATATCTTTGTTATTTTGGGTTTTATGGAAAACATTTTGAAGACAAACTTAAATTACTTTAAGGGGCATATCATTTTTTTTTTTATAAGAATCGTGTTTTTTAATGCATTAGTAGATATCAAGATTTCTAATAAAAAAGTATTAATCCATGTAGAAAAGTATTTATTTAAAAAATATTTTAATTTCGATACTACTAAGAGAAACCATTTACACATTTAATAAATTACTGTAATAGTGGTATTAAGACAGCGATGATTTCTTAGCGATATTTAAATTATAAAACTCTTATGTTAAACTAAGAATATAACGGAGATAATTAGAAGTTTCAATTGAAATTCTCTTCCCTGTATACACATAAAGAAGAGATATAATAATTAAATAACCATAAATATTCATAAATTTGTTGTTAGACAATTCCAGGGGGTGCATTCTCCGAATTACCCTTACTTCAAAGTGCAGAACTTCAAGAAAATCATATTTTAGAAATCGACAGTAAGGCTTTCATCAGCGTGCCTCATCTTCTCTTTCTAAATTTGAGTAATAATCATTTGCCGAGTTTGGAATACGCTGGTTTAGAAAGTCTTCAATCATTAGAAGTTCTAGATCTAAGTAATAATCGTTTGGCTCGAGTATCCAGCGACAGCTTGGCTGCGATGGAATGGCTAGTCGAATTAAAAGTGAGAATAAAAGTTAATATCTATCTTTAACGAACCTTTTCGAGAAAGGCTGGAGACTATTTTGTTAATACCATCAAGCGGGGAATAGTTACTTTCTCGCGAACAGTGAAATCTCTCCTTGAAGCGTGGAATAACTCAGCAATTGCTCCGTTGCGTCCTGTGAAACTAATTATTCGTTTCTACTTGTATACACGTTCCCTTTATCTTTTACTTTTTCCTTTTGCTTTATTTTTCTTTCTGTTTGTTTTTTTGGTTTTTTAATTCCTTTACTTTTACTTTTCTCTTTAGATGGATAACAATAGAATTTGCGCAATACAGGGTTCACCTTTCGACAAAATGCCAAGATTACGTGTCCTCAGTTTGAGAAGCAATCGAATGGCATCCGTTTCGGAAAATGCATTTAAAAGATTAAGATCCAATATTGCTATTTTGGATATCGATGGTAACAAATATTTCAATATTAACATGTGAATATAAATTCGAATCGATGATTAAATTATTGAACAAAATATATTATAGGAAATCCTTTATCATGTTCTTGCGGTATGTTATGGTTGAGGGGATGGTTACAACAAGCATCGTCGGAAGGTCCGAGATGTGCTGATGGGTCTCTCTTTAAAGAAATCAGATTGTCTCGTCAAGATTGTCAACATGAAAGACTAATTGTTCCTCCTGTTAATCCTGGTTGCGAAGCTGAAATAGTTAATAACGTTACTCCTGCTTTAGGTTAGTAAATAAAATCGAATATAATTATCAGAATTGTATTTACAAATCACCATATTTTAATGAATTTTTGGTAGGACTGAACGGAGCTACAGAAACGGTATCACTCTGGATGAATTTAGAAAGCTCGACCACGAGACCATCCGTTTCTCATCAAAATGATTATTACGAATATTTAAATGATCATTCGAACGTGTCTACTTCCCTTCCAATAGTATCAACCGAAGCTACAATTTTTCAATCAGTTAAAATTATACAAAATTCTGAAACTATGAAATATTTAAATACGAAGAATGCAACAAATCAAGTAAAAAAAAATTCCTCTACAATACCACCTTCGCCGAGTAGTTCAGGGTTTACTTTCTTTGGTGTTCCTTTGCCTAATTTGAATTTGAATTTTTGGGGTAATACTGGTAGAAAAGTAGAAAGGAAAGAAACATCAGGAGGTAGACCTGGTAGAGGACGTTACAGAGTATTTCCACCAACCGAGCCAGAAATTCATAGGGGTGGTTTTATACCTTTACCACGAGGACAAGGTGGTTTCGTTCCTATGATTGACTTGCCTCATTTTATTTACGATCAAAGACAAATAAGGAATGATACTCCGAAAGACAATCTAGATCAGGGTACTAATTATATTCGCATACAAGAAGAACGTAATTTGAAACATTCGAATGATACCATATCTAAATTAGAAAACAATGTTTCAAAAACTAACAAGTCTCTAACAGGCTCAAAAAGTAAAGATGAACTTTTTATCTCAAATATTGTTGGCTCTTCGAGATTTTCTAACAATTTAACTGAAAATGAGTATGTTATTATAACAATTTGATGTCACACATTCGAATGGAGGTATATGATTAGAATATTTGTTTTTTTTTTTAGGCCATATTCTTCATTGAATTTGACGAAAAGTATTAAATCGTCGCTACTTTCTAACGAAACGTTACGAAAAAGAAATGAAACATTTGTTCCAACAGAACTCGATCGAGGTAATAAATTAATAATGAATATGAAAGAACGTAAAATGATTAATGATTCACGAATGGAAATTGCAAGTAAAATTGTCTGGACGACACCAAGAACTGATTTTGCGAAAATGACATTTCCATCTAATAAAGCAATAGTAACAACAATTAATAATAATCATGAAAATTTAAATGATTTTCAAAGGATAAAAGATAAAAATATCTTTCGGAACACTGAGACGATGGAAACTCAGAAAATGGAAACGACTATGACAATGATTAATCCACAAAATGAAGCTACTGGTAAGATTTATCGAAACTACACACATTTAATTATTTTTTTTAATGTATATAACTCTTTTCTTATCATCATTTCAATAAAATATGGAAAGAAATTGTTCATTTTTATAGATAATATTCGTATAGTTACAACGTACTATCCATCTACTTCTTCTTCTACAACAACAATGGTGACGACTATGACAGCCAAGACTACAACGACAAATAAATTGAAAGATAAAATTATTGGAACTTCACAAACAAGTCGTAAGACAGAAGCATCAGCTTTGTCAACTTTTCTGGCACCAGGTGGTCAAATTTCTTCTTCCATATCAACAACTGGCTTACGTACTTTAGGTAGGCCAACGATAACAAAAGTACCATCTCCATATTTAGCTGAAACTACCGACCATAGTCGAAACCAGGATAAAGAAAATCCTATAGCTGGTGCTGTTCAAAGAAATATTGAAAATTTGGAATATACATTTTCAAACAACAAAGAAACGACTACCGTACATGATAATGTTAAAATAATCGAAGATAATCGTTTTAATTGGTACTTCCAACATTACAATGATACCAATTTAGAACCATTTATTGGAACGGTTTATAGCAATAGCATTAAAGTGAGTACTTGTCGATCTTTGTTATTATTTCAATTATGTTTTATATATATATATATATAATCTAATTTGAAGTACTAAATCTATTTTTTCTTGAGCATCATAATTACAAATGTAAAAATATAGAAAAATTTTATTGAATAAAGTTGTATTTAATTATTTTTGTTTGTCTTTACTTTAAATAATCATAATTTGTTCATACAATACAAATTTAGCGAAGTTCTTGGTGTAGAATTATGTTAAGTGTAGAAGTATGAAACCGGAATTTCATAGTAATTCATATATTGGGATATATTTTATAAAATTTATAATAAAAAATAAAAAATAAAAAAATAATGTATATCTTTTAAGAGTGTATGTCGAGTTTCAAATCACAACAATTCTAAAGAAGTTTTCACTTCAAAAATAACAAATAAACGACTGTATATTGAACAATAATAATATGTCATTGCATACGTAGGATTTTTCTTTGTTTTTTGTGTGTATTTGTTTAAAAATGTTTTTTTATTTAGACTCTACAATATTTTAAGTAAAAAATTGCATTTCCTACAAAATACAGTGTGTCTCTATGATGTTTATAAAGTATTTATAACCATTTGATAAATCCATTTCAGATAATTTCATAGAAAAATTCTATTTTAGTATAATCACATAATTCGTAATATCCGATTATCTTATATTACTAGTTTTCAACTGGAACAAAACAACATGTAATTATGTATCAATGAATTATGTGTCAACTACAATTATTCTTCATTTTCACATTTTTCATAGACCATTTCATTTCATACATCGTCATCTAGTACATTGAAAACTGTAATAACAACAACGTACATGTGACATTTACAAGAGAACCTATATATTTAAATTGGATATAATTAGTAAGTGATTATGATGATTTTGAAAGCGTGAAAATGGGTAACTTCGTCGTTCTGTATTAATTTAATAATTAATCTCTGTTGATATTTTTGTTGCAGAATACAAATTCATTATGTATATATTATAAACAAGCATCGCTATTTACATATGCGAAGCTAATTATTATTCTAAACTTAGACGGTTCTAATTTTTTAATTCACAAATTAAATTTTTTATCGAGGTGTGCAATATTTCTCATTCATTGACTTTTAGATTTTCCTTTTTCTTTTTCATCTTTTTTGTCTTCCTCTTTTTTCTCATCTTTCTTGGCATCTTTCTTGTCCATTTCTTTCTTCTCGGCATCACGATTAGTTAATTTATTGTTGATTAAGTTGTGAAGAGCCACTATGGATCTTACCAGTGCTGCTAAATATACTACCAACATTTGATCATTTGTTTTAACATATAATGAATCAACAAAACTACTCTGTGTCATGTCTGGTAGTAAATTAAATATATCTTGAAGTTGATAAACAATTTGATGATTTATTGGTAATTTACCATTACCAACCTAGGAGAAAAACAAAAGGTTTATATATTTTTTTGTTAATTGTAAATTGAGAAAGAGTAAGATTAACGTGTGCACAAAAATTCGATTTACTTGTATTAAATAATCTCTTATTTCTCTTATTTGCTCATGAAGACCTTTCAACCCGAGAAGTTGATTTGTAATACGTTGACTAAGTGTTCCAACTGTTGTATCCTTAATGTCACGTAATAAATGCTCAACTCCGACCTCTTCAGCTTCTTCTGCACCAATTTCACTAGGTATGTGCTCAAATGTTTTAGACGTTGGCGAACCATCCTATTAAAGCAACAATAAATATTGAGATAACAATTTATTTCAAAATTGTTGCATTGTCATATTATATATAAATAAGCTTACATCGTGTACTTCCTCTATTGCTTGATATGCCTCAGTAGGAAGACCTAAATCTTTTGGTTTAGCATCTATAATAACTAATACAGAATTTGGGCAATATCTTCTGATCAATTCATTGATGGCAACATCATTTTGATGTAGTTTAGGTCCTGTGTGATACCAACCTACTACTTTCTCTCGAGCTAGAGAGAAATATATGTTTTTTATAATTATTGGAAACAATTTATTACAATATAAAAACTATCATATCATCTATTACCATTGACTTTTTTGAACATTCCATACATATTTTCAAGATAATCATGGTCAAGGAACCACACGCTCTTATCCTTGTCATCTTCATCAAAGGGTACTGAAAAAAATATTAAAACTTTATTGATTATTTATATCTTTTTCCCCATCTATATTCTGTCATAATAAAAGTTTAATAGCATGAACGGAAGCTGCGAAATCTGAATGTATATTTATAGCAATATAAAACCCTAACCTGCAAAACTATTTGACACATCTAAGACACCTTTGGCTCTCCAGCAACCAAGAAGTACACCAACTACTCTTTTTTGATTTCCAATTTTTCCCATACGATTAAAATGATCCACCACACTCAATAAAACTAAAGGATGGACCACTACTTTCGTAGTAACAACTTCTTGACTCGGCATTTTTTAGCTGTCTCTTCAATAACGCCTCTAACCTAAATGATGATGACAAATTGCAATTATTGATGATCACTAACCACAACTGTTAACAACCTTATAATAAAATCTACCTAGATGGCGTATTAGTAGTTCTAAAAGCTGCACTACAATTTAAAGCGGCAAAATCAAATTTTCTATACAATATGTTTAAAATTATTGGATATTAGTTCAAATTATCTATTCTATTCTTTATCAATTGTTATCTAATCCATTTTTCTCTATATGTTTAAATAGTTTAACTATTATAACAATAAAATATTATAAATATAGTATTCAATAAACAATTACAATATTGTGATCACACATTGGTTATTACACACATATATTATTCATATGAACCAATGATATTAATAAGACAGTAGCGTCATAATTTTAACTCGATTACTCTAATAATATGTTAAAAGAATATTTTTCTCGTTTGAATATTCAGATTAATTCTAAGAAAATTAAACTGTTGTTCATCATATATTTGATTACAATAGTATATTAAGCAATTGCAACTTAAGCTATAATTACTTTGAAAAAAGATAGAAATTAAATTCCCAATACGCTAAAAAAAACATTTAATGATATTTCTTCACCTTTTTTTATCTGTGGCCAATAACTCCTCAGGTCGATATATATATATATATATAGAGAATATAAATAATAATAATAATAAAAACAACAACAATA